ACCGGTCGGCCCTACTGGTCCTCTGCAATACGGTCGGCGGTCGGGGTCGGCGGTCGGCAGGGATGCAACCATGCCCCTCCTTAATCCAACTCGCCCAATTGTCATCCTACCCACCCTCACCCAAGCATTTTACTTTCCGCCTCTGGCCGGCGCACCTGCCCAAAATTGTTTTCGGAATTTTAACCACACGCCCGACCTGCCCACCACCCAACAAGAAACCTCACCGAGACCCACCCGTACCTGTGAGAGATTATTTTACTTATTTGAGTCCTCCAGGACTCGAACCCAGGTCTGTTTACTTAACTTTATTAACAGTTCATGGGTACGCCATTCAGCTGCATGAGCTTGGTTCTTTTCTACTTGTCTTCATTTGTTTGTCATTTTTGAAGTTTGAAATTTAAACCGTCAATAGATGGAGCAGCCGCCAACAGACGACCTACCGTCTTCACTCGAATACAACGCCCGATCATTATAGCTGCATCTGGACTGAAAATTGGCCAAATGCAGCTATAATGACCGGGCGTTCTATTCGGGTGATGACGGAAGGGGGGACTGCTTTTACCACCTCCCCTAGTAGCTCCCGGTGGGCTTCTTCTTCAGAAAAAGAAAAGGGAAAAAAATTAAAAAAAAACTATCAGTAGACTCAGTAGATCTTAGCAATGCCCAGGGGCCAAGTCCCACTAGCAGCATTGAGCTACCTCAACGCCTGAAACTGGACGTGTTTGTGGAGATGTGCAGTTCAGGAAACTCAACACCATTTCTGCACATGACCGCAAAAGCGCCCAGATTCAGGCGTTGAGGTAGCTCAACGCTGCTAGTGGGACTTGGCCCCAGGTTACTAACGCCCCACCCTTTTCCAGATGGTCGGTTGGATTGACGATCAGACAGCCATACAGTTCCCCCCCCCCCCCCCCCCCCTCTCCCTCTTTGGAAGGGGGGGATTAATCCCTAACATTGTTGTATTTTATGAATTTTTAATATTTTTATCAGGATTTCAAATTTTCAACTCATGGCATGTTTATCAAGAGCTACATCTGTGGGTGATATCAGAGCAGTGGGCCGGATTTGGCCATCTCTGTCTCTGTGATTACGCACCGACGCAGGCACCTCAGCTGGGTATAGTTCCCAGAATTGTTTGATTTCTCTCCAGGTTGTTTTGTTGAGGTTTCCCCTCTTTCTTTTCAAAAAAAGAAAAAAAAAGAAAAAAAAAAGAAAAGAAAAAGAAAAGAAAATACCTTTCTCGGCAAAAAAAAAAAGAAGAAAAAAAAAAGAGCTACATCTGTGCATGATTCACCCGAAAAGCTGGGTATCACAGGTTTCATTTCTGTCTACACTGGCTCTACACTTTTTTTTTAAAACAATGGCAGCCGCGTCAGGTTTGAGTTTGAAAACAATGAAAAGGCAAAAAAAAAAGTTAAAAAACACTAAATGGCACTCTGCATGTAGCTGGAGTTCGAAATATGCGTTTCAGACTTCAGTCAAAAATAGCAGTATTTTCTTTTTGCCTTTTTTCAACTTTTTTGAACTCAAGGCTATCTGCACACCATGGCCCCCCCCTGTAGTTATGACATCTGCACATACTACAAAGTGCCGCCTTGTTTTATTGCCTTTTCCAACTTGGCACCTGTTTCCTTTGCCGGAGCGTGTTTTCTTTGCTGATTTGAAACTCGTTTCTGACTGAAACACCGTTGCCCCCCTTTCTTTTTTTTTCAACACTTGCTCTCTAATCTATTCCTGGGGAGCATCAGGGGCTGGGAACCTTGCCCAGCAGATGCTATACACTGTATACAGTCTTGATACGATTACCAGAGCCATCACCCCGCTTCGTCTTGAGACTTCTGAAATGGTCTCCAGATGCTATAATATAACTACTATACACTTCTGGTCCTTCTGGACAGTCTAAGCAAGGACTTTTTTTTTTTTTTTTTTTTTTTTTTTTTGGACAGTCTAAGCAAGGACTATTGCAGCTCAGAGGTCTATTTACAAGGCAGGGTGCAGTCAGTTAGATGGAGTCACCAGGGACAGCTACTAGTGGGGGCTGCCTTTACCACCTCCCCCCTCCCCTAGTAGAGGTTGCAGGGTTTTTTTTTTTTTTTTTTTTTCAGTGCTGCAAACCCGGTAGGACCGGGGGGCCCTCCCTCAACCGGAACCGGAACCGGACCGGTCCTTCCGGGCGGTCGACCAGGCCGGTTCCCGCCCGGTTGGCCGTAGCGCATCACTTTTTTTCTTTTTTTGGGTTGTTGAGGCCCAGGACTAGACCCATGGTGATCGCTGGCAGCAGCAGCCGGTGGTCGTCCTGACAGGATAGGCCACCTTCCTACGCCTCCACACGTTAATGCTCCCAGCCCACCCGCTATCCCTAATATCTTACCTCAGTGTGACCAGCACTCAGGACCATCACGCTACCAGTATGGAGGGCAACTTGGACCAGACAGCAGTGACAAGCACCCCCTAACACAATAACCCCCACCCCCCTTTTCAAAGTTTTTGGGTGGGAAGTACCGTCCCTACCCTGCCACTAACACCCCCAGCCCCTTTTTCAAAGTTTTGGGCGGAAGGTTAACGTTTGCAGAAAGCCAGGTACATTGTTGTCAACGTCTGCTGAAGCCCGTGCTTGCTGAAACCCCACCACTAACACCCTCACCATAAACCCCCCAACCCCCGACCCCCGACCCCCAACCCCCCAACCTCCCAAACTAAACTTCTCTGCTCAAAGTTTCTTTGTGGATTCGGGGAGATCTCAGTGAGCGCAGTCCAACCATGTTTTCAAAAAAAAAAAGTAAAAAAAACTGACCCACTTTTGGGCCCAACTGGAATTCCGGTTGGACCACACTGGGGTCCAACCGGCCGGTTGCCGGCACAGCCATGTTTTTTTTATTAAAAAAAAAAGAAGAAGTTGCCCTTTGAGGATTCAAGGGGGACGATCACCGCCATATATCAGCAGCCGCAGGAGAAAATAAAGTGGAAGAGAGTTTCAAGTTTTCGACTTGGATAAATTTGGGCGCATTACCCGCCGCAACTGTTGGACGTACTGGCCGTTTAACATCAGGGTACATCACGAGAGTCCTACTACGGTCTTCACCCGAATAGAACGCCCCGTCATTATGGCTGCATCTGAACTGAAAATTGCGCCAAATGGCAAACACGGCTATAATGACCGAGTGCTCTATTAGGGTGAAGACGGTAGTATCACAAACGGAACACCAATGCCCTACTTATTGGTGACACCGGTGGAATAGGTTGAAGCTTCAAAACCCAGATTGCCCGTCCTCCGCACGGTCAATCAATGCCCATACCATCATAACTCCACCATGGTGTTAACTGTAGGTGGACAAGGGTCAGGGAACTCTATTTCCAGCCTCATTGTGCACTTCTCATCAAACTAAGTCTTGGTCCATTCATGAAACACCAGTTTTAAGTTTCAACAGCTGTGGATACCCCCAGTCCCCCACAATTTCTGCTATACTACCCTTTCGCGGGGAGCCAATCCACTCTACAGAGTCTACATAAAATTTTCTGATTTTTCACCCCCAGTCCAATCTCTTTGTTGTCATGCATCATCAAATTATAGTATAAAGCCTCTCCCACTCCTCTCGAATCTCGGTTTCTCGGTTTCTTCCTTCTCCTTTTTTCTTTTTGAAAAAAAGGGCGACGGCCTTGAGATATCATCATGGAACTGACCGGCCCTCGGTAATTCAGAATATACTGGTTCTGTTTAAATAAATAAATAAAAAAAAAAAAAAAAAAAAAAAAAAACTGTAGTATTTTACTCATTTCCATCTGGTGGAGTTTGAACTCCGGTCTGTATCTTAACAGTTCAGGGGTGTATCAACTGAGCTAGGCCAGTTCGTCGAATCTCGGTTTCTGTCAATCCAGTACTATTCTTTTCCGGGGAAGACGGCAGCTGTCGGTGCACATGGTGGACCTGTGGCTGGAAGCCTGAGCTCCTGCACAAGTTGATATGGCACAGTGGTGGTTTAATACTCGCTCACCTGGCGAATTCAGGCGCTGCAGAGCTGATTCCAAATCCTCCGACTGATCATCCTCCTCCTCTTCATCGCTCTCAACCTCCACCTCTTCGTACTTGAAGTCATCATCACTGTCTGCCTCTAAATCTGTTCATGCAAGTCAAGTGACAGAATATGTATTATGACATTTTGTAGTATTAAACCACCAGTACCTTTCCCCGGTTGAAATTTTTGAAAATCAATTCCACAGTGCATCCACACGGGATAACGTGGAAGCCAAGTGGGATCGGGCCGCTGTTGATAAAAAAAATTGAATGATAAAAAAATTGAATAATAGACGGCCCGTTTTTCGGTTTCCGGTTTAGGGGCTTTTTTTTTTTCTGCCACGGCTTTTATATGGGAAGGCCTATTTATGGGAAAGGTACCGGTGGTTTAAGAACGTACTCACACTAGGACTCTCCAGGATATATATGACGGCTTTTAAGATCAGGTCTGGATCCACCTGACTGCAATTATGTCCACAGAGAAGTGGAAAAGTCCCAAGTGTGAACATGCCCTAAGAGTAGTTTAACTGATATACTGTACTGTATGTATTACGGTGCATGCACTGAGCTCCTTCATGATTATCAAATGAGCAATCAACAAATATGGAATTCGAAGGAAACCAAAAAGGAAATAGAAACTGTATTCTCTTCAGTGAAAAAAAGTCACCACTTTTCTTTTCAGTATTCAAATAACAAAATGCCCACAGGTGTTGTTTTGATAATTGAAAAACATGTTTAGAGGATGGAAAAAAAGAAAAGACACCCACGTGCCGTGCGCGACCAGCTTTTTGAAGTTTTTTTTGGGTGAACTGAAACAGAAACTCAAGCATACTTTGAAGTTGAACCACCAGTACTTGGCCCAGCTATTGGCCGGGGGGAAAAAAATAAAACAGAGTAGAAACGTTTCTACTCGGATGAGTTTGGGCGCTCCTTTAGGAAGTATTGGTGGTTTAATGAAGTTGTGAACACTTTTCCAGAGTACTGGCAGCTCCACCCACATAGACACCTTTCTCTTCCCTCACCGAGCACACATGCTTAGTAGCCTGATGGCCCTGATCAAGGAACCAAAACTCGACCTCCGACCCTACGGGAGCACCTAGCCATCCCGCGCCACCCGGGGGGGGCCGTGGTGGCAGTTACCCAGACCCTGTGTCCACTGCTGGCTTTTTGCACACTGTGACACTGCTGTGTGGATTTCGACAGCCAGATGGATGTGCAGCAGGGGGAATCACCTTATGACCCTGTGTCCACTGCTGGCTTGTTGCACACTGTGACACTGCTGTGTGGATTTCGACAGCCAGATGGATGTGGAGCAGGGGGAATCACCTCGTGAGGAACCAGGTGGGGCGCCCTCCGGGCCGCATGAAGAAGCGCATGGGCAGGCCGACAAAGAGTGCCTGGAAAAGGCGGTTAGAGACCTCCAGAGGGTTCATGAGCTGGAGTTCCAGATGAACATGAGCCATCATAGGTATATAAAGTTCAGCAGCTGGGTGCTGGAGCAAGTGAGCCACAACACACAGTGAAGATGGAGAACCCTTTCGAAGCATTACAAAGGAAAGTGAACCCTCCGAATTCATGGCCAAGCAGTACAGCCTGAAAACTAGCGTCAACGGGGATTCCATCCAGACAGACAACCCAGGTTACAGAAAGCAGTCCACCTGGCCCTCCACCTACGCGGACACAGACGGACTGCCTGCTCAGCCCAAACGGGGCAAGAAGACGAAGAACACGCCCCAGGAGATGGCGGAGATGACACAGACAGCAGAGCAAGGTTCTGCAGCGGACCTTTTTGCAGGAGAAAGGGCATAATAATAGAGGCCCAAGTGTCCTCACTGACGGACAAAAAGGAGTAGTTAGACGGACTGCCTGCTCAGCCCAAACGGGGCAAGAAGATGAAGAACACGCCCCAGGAGATGGTGGAGATGACACAGCAGACAGAGCAAGGTTTTGCAGCGGACCTTTTCGCAGGAGAAAGAGCATAAAAGAGGCCCAAGTGTCCTCACTGACGGACAAAAAAGAGTAGTTAGACGGACTACCTGCTCAGCCCAAACGGGGCAAGAGGATGAAGAACACGCCCCAGGAGATGGTGGAGATGACACAGCAGACAGAGCAAGGTTTTGCAGCGGACCTTTTTGCAGGAGAAAGGGCATAATAGAGGCCCAAGTGTCCTCACTGACGGACAAAAAGAAGTAGTTAGACGGACTGCCTGCTCAGCCCAAACGGGGCAAGAAGATGAAGTAGCGAATGGGAGTCGGTTTACCTTTTTTTTCTGCAGTTTCTCGACTATGTTCTCCAGTAGTAATCCTATAATATTCTTCCTCTTCTGCACATAAGTGTTCTGATCCTGTTAATTGTTGGTGGAGATGACACAGCAGACACAGCAAGGTTTTGCAGCGGACCTTTTTGCAGGAGAAAGGGCATAATAGAGGCCCAAGTGTCCTCTCTGACGGCCAAAAAGGAGGAGTTCGCGGAGCAGCAGCTGTCCTTGCAGAAACTTGCAGATGGCCAGTCTAAACCGGTAGAAGCAGCCACCAGGTTGGATGCAAAAAAGAGCGAGGACGAAAGGATCATTATCCCCTCAGACAGGCTGCCGCTGGAACTCTACCCCCCCACAAGGAGTGGGAAGTGGCTGTCCAGTGTCCGCAGATCTGGACCCTTGATTACTGTCAACAACACGATCTTGGAGAAAGGCGCTCTCACCACTGAGTCACCAGCCAGTTCAAGGACTCTATAACCCCGCTCTTTACGCTGGGAAGGAGAAGTGGAAACACAGAGGATTGGGAGGACGCGGCAGGACAGTTACAGCTGCTACACTAGGCAGACCTGCGCCCTGTGCTTGTCCACCTCTCGGAGTGGATTGCATGGCAGGTGATTGAAGTCTGCCCCCATGGCCTATTAGGGCATGGGGTGGCCCTATGGGCCCTATCGCCTGACTGTGCTACTGGGACTGATATGAGCAATGAGCAACCTCGCGTAGCAGCAGCCTGACCATGGCTCCAACCTCGCGTAGCAGCAGCCTGACCATGGCTCCGATCTATTGGTGGGGAGCTACACCTGCTGGAAACAGGGTCCACAGTGCAACACAGCCCCGCCAATTTGAAAGCTGACGCCTGCCCATGGCTCCAATCTATTGGTGCCATTTTGGTGGGGAGCTATACCTGCTGGAAACAGGGTCCGCAGTGCAACACAGACCGGGGCCATTACCCGGCTTCGAGACAGGATACGAAAGAAATCAGGAGCCAAGATGAAAGCCCCACTCCCTCCTGCCCCCCTCTCCTCTTCACCCTTTCCCCGACGTCCCCGACGTCCCCGACTGGCTCTTCAGCTCTTGAGGAGCCGCCAAAGCTGAGGCTCAAGCAGTCCCTCTCTCGCAAACTCACTCAGCCGATGAGGAACATATCAGCCAACGAACTATCGCCAAGGTCGTCACAAAAGCCTACAGTCAGTGATAGCCAGTGACCGGAAGATAACGTGCTATACAACACGCAAGATAGCGTGCTATAGCTCGCAAACTCACTCAGCCAATGGTCGTCACCAAAGCCGATAGTCAGTGATAGCCAGTGAACTGAGGATAATGTGCTATACATTTCGCAAAGTCACCCAGCCAGCCAGGAACATAGCCAGCCAGGGACATAGCCAGCGAGGGACACAGCCAACGAGGGGCCCAGCCAGGGACATAGCCAGCGAGAGACACAGCCAACGAGGGGCATTGCAGGCTGGCGATGGGCGCGAAAACCTATAGCCAGAGAATGGGGGGGAAAAACCGTCAAAGCTAGCGAGGTCACTAAGGCAGAGAAAGAAACATAGCAAGTCAGACTCATCAAGACCTACAGCCAGAGAACGGACAATACAACTTACGCGCAAGTACTTACGAGAGTACGTACTCACGTAACTCAGGGCATACTCACACTAGGACTTTTCTATGACCTTGTGGACGTAATTGCGGTCAAAAACATCCAACTCTGGCAGTAGATACGGTCACATTTAAGCTACAGCTACCGTAGTGTGAGTACGTGATTCAGTCAGCCAGTGAGTCACTCTGTCATTCCGTAAGAAGGGGAGTAGACAAGCACGTTAGCGAGGAAGTAAAGGTAGTAAACAAGCAAGCAACTACGCATTCTTTTTTTTTTTTTTTAAAGCGAGCAACTAAGCATCCTTATCCTTATGGACGTAATTGCGCTCAAATACATCCAAGTCTGGCCGTAAATACGGTCAGGTACATTTAAGATAGAGCTAGTGTGAGTACGTGATTCAGTCAGCCAGTGAGTCACTCTGTCATTCCGTAAGCAGGAGAGTAAACGAGCAAGTCCGTAAGTAAGCAAGCAACTGAGCATTATTTTTTTTATTTTTTTTTTAAGCAAGCAACTAAGCATCCTTATGGACGTAATTGCGGTCAAATACATGCAAGTCTGGCCGTAAATGCGGTCAGATACATTCAAGATAGAGCTAGTGTGAGCAGGACAGTAAACAAGCAACTCAGTAAGGAGGTAAAGGTAGAAGCTTGCAACTAGGCATTCTTTTTTTTTTTTTTTTTTTTTTTTTTTTTTCCCAACTAAGTCGTTCATAAGCTACCGTCTTCACCCGAATAGAACGCCCGGATTATCGCTGTATGTAGACTGAAAATTGCACCAAATACGGCTATAATGACCGGGCGTTCTATTCGGGTAAAGACGGTAGTTAGGAAATATTAACACTACGAATTTTTCGACTGCGTTTGGCCATAATTGCGGTCATATACATTCACGCAAGACGACTGAGTCTGGCTATAATTGCGCACATATACATTTAAGCAAACTCCTCCTCGGTAATAAAAAAAAAAAGGAGCTCAAAATAGTGAAGGCATGGCATGAATATGCCCTTCTAAAGCTCCCAATTAAGGGCATACTCACACTAGAACTTTTTCGACTTAACTCTGGACGTGATTGCCGCCAGATGCATCCAGCTTCCGCCGCAATTGCGGTCAGATGCATTTCGAAAAGTGTTAGTGTTAGTATGCCCTAAAACACGTTCGTACGTGTTCAGTCGGTCAGTCTGTCACTCAGTCAGTCTTTTTTTTTTTTTTTTTTTTTTTTTTTTTGAGTAGTCAGTCCTTTTAAGTGAGTAGGTAAGAAACAAAAGCAAGGAAGGGAGGAAATAGATAAAAAGAGCATACTCAGACTACCGATAGGACTTTCTAAACTGAATCTGTCCACAATTACGGTCATATCAGTACAGAAAATCTTCGACTGACCATGGTCGAAGAGAGCGCGTTTGTTCGTAGTACAATACGCATTCAAAGCTATAAATATAAATAACTAATCATGGGTACGTGAGAAAGTACGAGGTACGAGGTAACTAAGTACCTGAGAAGACTTAGTGAGAACGTAAGTAATAATCTCTTGATTGCTTGCTTGGTGGTTAACCCATCCATTCTTGAGTACAGACTGTACAGTAAGGATTAACCGACTCAATCAACTGGTCAAACGGTTTTTTTTGCCTTTTTTTCTTTGGTCAAAGAGTTCGATTCATCAAGGAAATGCAATTATCTACGATGGTTATCGTTGCGTACCGGAAGCTCAGTACACTGACGATCTCATCGATCGGATTTTCGACGACGCTGCAATCTCGCGAGGGGAGATAGCAAGCGTTGAAGCGAACGTATTGAATGCATGCATGTACAGAAGGAAAGAAGGAAAAACAATTGATTAGACGGGATCGGGGTCGAGGGCGCGGGGAGAGAGAGAGAGAGAGAGAGAGAGAGAGAGAGAGAGAGAGAGAGAGAGAGAGAGAGAGAGAGAGAGAGAGAGAGAGAGAGAGAGAGAGA